AGAAGGCCTGGCTCTCAGTCTCTGCTCTAATTCATCCCGAAGGTGTTCTATCAGGTTGAGGTCAGGACTCTGTGCAGGACAGTCAAGTTCTTCCACACCAGACTCTCTCATCCATGTCTTTATGGATGTGGCTTTGTGCACTGGTGCACCTTCATCCTGGAAGAGGAAGAGGCCATCTCCAAAGTGTTCCCTCAAAGTTGGGAGCATGGAGTTGTCCACAATCTCCTGGTATGCTGAAGCATTCAGAGTTCCTTTCACTGGACCTACGGGGCCAAGCCCAGCTCCTGAAAAACAACCTCACACCATAACCCCCCTCCACCAAACTTTACACTTGGCACAATGCAGTCAGACAAGTACCGTTCTCCTGGCAGCCGCCAATCCCAGACTGGTCCATCAGATTGGCAGATGGAGAAGCATGATTTGTCACTCCAGAGAACGCGTCTCCACTGCTCTAGAGTCCACTGGCGGCTGCTTTCCACCACTGCATCCGACGCTTTGCGTTGCACTTGATGATTAATGGCCTGGATGCAGCTGCTCTAGCATGGAAACCCATTCCATGAAGCTCTCTGCACACTGTTCTTGAGCTAATCTGAAGGCCACATGGAAGTTTGGAGGTCTGTAGCAATTGACTGCAGAAAGTTGGTGACCTCTGCACCGTATGTCCCTCATCATCCGCCGACCTCACTCTGTCAGTTTACGTGGCCTACCACTTGTGGCTTAGTTGCTGTCGCTCCCGATTGCTTCCACTTTGTTATGATACTACTGACAGTTGACTGTGGAATATTTAGGAGCAGGAAATTTCACGACTGGACTTGTTGCACAGGTGGCATCCTATCTCAGTACCACGCTGGCATTCACTGAGCTCCTGAGAGCGACCCATTCTTTCACAGATGTTTGTAGAAACAGTCTGCATGCCTTGGTGCTTGACTTTATACACAATGTGGCCATGGAAGTGATTAGAACACATGATTTTGATTATTTGGATGGGTGAGTGAATACTGTTGGCAATATAGTGTATGACCTGGAGACTTGCAAAGCCTTTCACTGAAAGCAGTGGATAAACTGTTAAATTTGGAATGTTGAAGGGCGCTGCAGGGTGGCGCAGTTGGTAGCACTGTTGCCTCGCAGCAAGAAGGTTGCCGGTTCGCGTCCCGGTGGGGGCACCGGAATCTCTCTGCGTGGAGTCTCCATGTTCTCCCCGTGCAGCGTGGGTTCTCTCCGGGTTCTCCGGCTTCCTCCCACAGTCCAGAAACATGCTGAGGTTAATTGGTGATTGTAAATTGTCCGTAGGTGTGAATGTGAGTGTGCTTGGTTGTCTGTCTCTAAGTGTAGCCCTGTGATAGACTGGTTACCTGTCCAGGTGAACCTGCCTTCACCCTGAGTCAGCTGGGATAGACTCCAGCCCCCCGCGACCCTCGTGAGGATTAAGCGGTGTATAGAAAATGGATGGATGTTTGAAGGGCATTTGTAATTTTGAAGCACCCGTTTAGTAGAGAGAAAGCTCAATTCTTGCAGTTTTCCGGAAGCTGGATTCTGGAGCAGGTACAGTGATGTGATGTTGGGGGAGACGTGACTTCAGCAGAGTTGGAACAGCGTGTTGAGGTTGAAGTTGGTAACAAAGACCAAAGTGAGAAATTCTGTGGTTGGTAGAAAATCTGTCTGTCTTTCAAGTGAATGGCTTTTTATAATGAAATAACTGACCAGTCATAAAGAACTCCTCTCCCAGGCGGGGTGTTAGATTTGATGCCTGTGTGGGTCAAATTGTCAGGAGTTTTGTTCTAAAAGTAACAATGTTACTTTAGAACTATGTGTACTTGTAATGATAGAGTTAAGCCTGTTAAATGAGAGGATCACAAAGAGTATATACATGAGCTATTTATCTTGCACGGTTACAAAGATAATACAGTACTAGGATATATGATTGTGTAACAAGCTAATAAAATCCAGAAGGAGTTATCTAACTGTGATTAAGGTTTTGGGGTGTTTACCATGATATTATTTACTTTCACATTTAACAACACTTAAAATAGCACAAGACAGTAAAGGCACATTCAGATCCTCCTGTGC